TAGTGGAGACAGATGCACTGACTGTGTCACCAACTGAACAGCATTTTGCATGTTAATTATAAAGCAAATAAATTCTTTGTAGCTGAGGGTATGTATAGTAAATTGTAATAAATCACAAAAGAGATCAGAAAGCAGTAAGAATATCAGTGACACTCTCAGCTGCACCTTAATTTTCCACCTTTTTGTTCTTACCACAATTTTGATTTCATCTGTGATCTATTACATGTACTGAACAGAGGCATAACAACAAGGAATCCATTTGTAACTCAAACATCAGCAAATCAAGACTTCAATTCATCAATCAAGAGTATGGTTACAGATTGAAATAATTAGACAACAAAAAAGACCTATAAATTATAAAAAACTACAACAAAATTTGAGAAACAAAACACCAATCAGCTGAACATATTCATAATATATAAACATGAAAAACACAACGAACCTACAGTCTACAAATGAATTGTCTGTTATGCTGTTCAGTTACAAGTGCAACTCCTTCACTTTCCTATTAACACATAACCTGGACTGTTGCTAACCAATCACATTGAACAATTTTGCTGAAGTTTTTTATCATCAGTAAATGTAATATGACTGGTTAATCAATAACAAAAGTGGATTTTCTTATAATGTAACAGCTATATTTCAAACTTTTTGAAAACAGTTGTGAAAGAGCAATAAATTATGAGTTGAAAATCACTCAATTGCCATGCAAATGCCACTGGAGTCTGATTAAAGAATTTTATTTTCTCAGACATTAAATGTTGCAAGGAAATGATTCAGCAGAATTAAAACAATCACAGATATGATTATTTTCTCCTTCACTTTATAATCCCTCGAATTTTAACAGGTGACCTCCAAATCAATCAATAGGTTCTGCCATTGAGATAATAAATAGTACACACTGGTATGCACCTAAGCTCTGATTGAAAATCTGACATATACAGGAACAAGTCCCATAGTAAGGCAGTGATGTAAAGTGACAGGATTTTCCAGCAGAAGAGGCTGCATGACAAGTCATTTTCACATTGCAGGTACTACTCTCTGCATTATCAAATTAGATCTTGGAGACCTACATCATGCCAGCCCTATACTGGAAGTGTTTATAACTAATGCATCACAATAAATTTGTCAAGTAAAAATTTTACAGACAGCCAAAGTATGTGAGATTTGAAGTTTTTCCTTTTAAATTTGTGACATGTTGAATACTGTTTTAAGTACTCATGCTGGTGACTTTTTCTAAAAGTTGGTGTGAAACAGGATTATGACCCCCCTCCCCCCTCCCTCTTTGCTACGGTGTACTTATTGTGAGATGAAAAAAAAAGTGGGTAAGAATTTGAAAAAACTCCAGTTTTTCTTTCAACCACAGGCCCTTGCTGTGACTGCTAATTAGATCATTGCCTCCAGAACTATAACTTAGGTTGGGTTAAAACAAATATTTCACATTAAAAAGATAACACCAAGATTCAAAATAGTAGCTGATTAATAAATACCATTCCAAAATAAGTTTCAAGATCTCCCATATCACTGTGTGCATGTCTGTTGTCATGTCTCGAGAACAGGTGTCTATTAGATCTTTCCTGTGAAATTCATACAAGAAAAATATTCAGATTAATTACTACAAAAAAAATATCCACCAAATCATTTCAAGTAACATAATTTTCATACATTGGGAAGTGACATGTATAGCGTAATTGATAACGTAAGGTCACTGTTGTTGGTATAGTTCCAATTAAAAAAAGCGATGAATGTCACACCTGTTTCAGATATATTTGCAAGATTATATGAAAGGTTAAATCGAACTTCAAGTGCTGTTGATCATATTTCAGATAAAATTTTTTCATCTCTGTTACGCGAGGAACATTGTATCAGTGAGAAGTTGTTCGCTGTCCCACTGGGTGTTTCTGTTTGGGTTTGTAAGAGAGATATCTAGGTCAATTTTGATGTGGCCCGGAATTCGTATCACCAGTAATTACCTCTCAACGAAACAGCGAATGCATCATTAAAACCCAAAATGGAGAAAATTGTAAAAGTTTTCTGAAGTTCAACTGGTGATGATATCTCATAACGAAGTCAATGTGTGATTTCTATCCGAGCGTAGAAGTCATCTGCTAGTTCTTGTCTACCATCAAATTAAAGGCAGATACCTGATAGATCAGTACTTGTTGAAAGTTTCACAAGCAGCTGTTTACATGAGAGTAATGACAATGTTTATGTCAGCTGGGAGCTGCGCGTCCGTTTTATTTTCAGAACTTACCTTCGCATAATTCATAAATTTCTCCGGAGGACATGGCTTAGCTCTGTGGCGATAAGGAATGGTAAACTCTGAGCGCGATTTGCTTCGAAAATGTCCATGAAAACCTGAAGGGAACTAGGAAATTATCCGTGTAAATAAATTTTCTTGGACTTCAATCGTTTATACAGAAGACACATGAGAGTCAAATTCGTACAAAGCTTCTCAATAACTCACCCAAGTTCCACGAATGTCGTTATTGTCGAAAACTCTTGTCATCTTGAATTCATCAGGAAACTATTCAGGTAAAAAACGCTGCGTTTCGTTCTCAATTTTCGAAGATAGTCGTCAATTTTTGTCGGAGAGATTCCCGATTACCTTCAACCTAAGATCGATGTTGTGTTCGTTACCACGGAGCTTGTAATTGACACTAATTGAAAGCCCCTTGAGAAATGAACCAATGGAACTTCGTTCCACTTCAACGCTCTGAGGTAATTATTCTAATTTTAGAAGCAACGCGTGCTAGTAGGAGATGTCCAGTCATTAAGACTCTGAAGACATAACAAACCAGCCGAAAATGAGTTGCAATCTCACTGCCAACGCTATAAAATAAAGAATTGGTCCATGCTTAGCGTGCGTATGTCGAGTTATTGATGCACGCGGGAGGTTTGGGGATGTTGAGGACAAGAGATGGGTAAGAGTTGGTGGAGGCGCAGCCGGCTGAGAGCATCTCTAGCTTATTGAGTGACAACACAAATAAAATTAAACCTCAATTGCCCCCGGGCCCATGCGACTACATATGCCAGAAAATTCCGTAGATTCGTGTCGAAAGTATTTAAAATTCTGAAGCTGCACGGTTTTAAAATTAAAATCTCCTATTGATTAATCAACATTTCGAGGCTTTTCTCAGGGCTGAAAATCCTTGTAAAACCAGTTTAGTTGATATGATATTATATATATATATATATATATATATATATATATATATATATATAATATTATGCGAATAGCGTACACTAATGGCTTTCTTGCGAGTGTTGCTTAAGCTGCTATGAAGACCACAGGTACCCTACCCCTGTAAGCAGACGTGTGTTAAGGAGAAATTGCTTAAGAGAGCTCTAAAGGCTAGCTGTGAATATCCCTTCGAGTAACAAAGAAAAAAAACTGCCTGTATTAAATTTTAAATCTTGGGAAACGCTTTATGTTACTTTTACGGAAGGTATTTTTCGTTTCTCCAGCTTCATACAATTTTCATTTCCTCTCCCCCACCCCCTCGCTGACGACCGCGCGCAAGGAAAAAAAGGGCGGGAAACTAGACGCGGCTACCGTAAGGCGTTTTAAAAATCTTCGTGACAGTCACTCCATTTAATGGGTTTACCTTGATTTTGATTTATAATTTATCAGCTTTTTAAATTTTTTTAGAAAATTTCTATCAATCCTTGGAAAGAACGAACAGTTGACTGCAACGGGGAAATAATTGTTTCAGCACGACACTATCAAGAGATTGTTTTCTGAGGGTTTGATTTCTGTAGACTACAATTCAAGTGGATTCTGAAGCACTCCAAGAGTGTCAGCTCTGATACAAAATATTTTTCCTGCCCGTGAATTGTACAACTCTAATCCTTGGTAAGCTGCTCAGGTTTATTTTAACTTTATTTGTTAGTTTCTGGGGAGCTTGTTGGTCTCTGGCTACGAGCTAAATTCAATTTTTTTGTCGTACGTGAAACCCACAAAGCTCATTCATTAAGCTTTCGACATGTTTGTTGTGAAGTTGAACGAAGTGAGCTTAAATTTTCGCAGTTTATTAGAATCGCCTTCAAGTTAAAATAAGATGTGCAAGTTGCATGTAGCAATTAGACGGAAAATATGGAAACTGCCTTTACACTAGGAAATTTCTGAGATCTCTTCCTTACTTTGTTCACGAGGGGAAATTTAAGTCGATTCAAGAGCTCTTAACACTTTCAAGGACGCTTAAAATTAAAAAAATCATTTACCGTCGGTGGGGTGCTTAAAAGACAGTAAAGCATAGCCAGGAAAGGAAGTTTTGTCGTCTTAATCATTGCAAATCTTTTTGTTTTTCAGTCGAGAGATGTGGGACAGCGAGCAGTTCAGTCAAAATTTCGGTTCGTGTTCACAGGGTTCTCAAAACAGCTCAACTGATCTATTTTCACAGTCTAAGATGAGCCAACATAAGGGGTTTAGTTCCATTGATGTTTGGTCACAACCAACAAATTCACAAAAAATGCCTGAGGTACGTTTATCTGGAGACAGAAAGACTTGAATTGAGAAGTTGATCATTAAGTGCACAATTTCTGCGATAAAAATGTGATTGGTTAGCCTGACTCTTGCATCGTTAGACAAACGATTGAACGTTCATTTATTTACTATCTCTGTTTTTTTGTCTCTGTTTTTGGTTTTTGTTTTATCGTCTTTCACGGTTTTGTCAACCTGGTTTCTCTCATCATCGTATTTCATTCCTTTCCATATTCTTTCAATCATAATTTCTTCAAATCTCTCATCTCACTGCTCCTTCGAAACTCAGTTCTTAATAAACGTTCTTAGCTGAGTGAGATTTTTCACATTCGATAACTACTCTCCCTACTATTGATAAAATAGATCTCTAATTCAAAAGAGAGACCCTTTCTACATCGCAACGGAATGATTTCATCTCTGAAGTTGGCCTTGAATATTTGAAAGATCAAATTCGATAAACACTACTGTACATTGTTAACATACTTTGTTGATTGCTTCTACCGTACGGGACGGATCAGTTAAGTATTATATGAAGTACATGAGTAAGCCACCCCTGTTTTCATCTGAGTCTGATAAACAGTCCTGTCAGCAGACTGCAGCGAGTTACAAAGAATTGATTGAAAGTCAAAAGAAACAAACAGCTGAGAGAGATGGCAGGTAAGGTTATGTTCTTTTAACCTTTTGGTTATTTTACCAAACTGAAAAATGATTTATCGATCTTTTAAGAAAATACTTCAATAGTAATCAGTAGTTTCAAAAGAAACTTCGAATTCAACTTTTTAGAGAGAAGTTTTTGATAATTTAAACTATCATAAATTGCAATTGTTCTAAACATGTCAAACAAATTCATGTTTTCGATAATAGTTTTTAAAACCATTTTACCTGTGAGTATGAAAATATATATTTTAATATACAAACTAAAGACTTAAAGTGATGTATAACTTTGCATCAAAAGAATATAATCTCCTGCCTTACAACTAGTCTTTCTGCAGTCACATTGTTTGCAAGTGTCGTGCCTTCTAACCGAGTTGGACTAAAACTTTCTGTAAACCTTTATTTATTGCTTCTCGCAGGGATGTTCTCGACAGTTTTATATCTCTACTCAAGGATTACACAAAAGAGGTAAGAGAGCCTTCATAGGTATTATTGACCAGGTTAATATAAGTTCAGAATCAGCAAAGAGGCATAGTAGAATCACAGAGAGCATCCATCCTTGATCCTTGGTGTATCCCTTTAAGGGTATTTCCACTCATTCATAATTATCATTATTATCACTATCATTTATTTATAATGGTAATGGTGCAGTCCAATTTGGTTTGCAATCGTACAAGTAATTAACAAAATCGGACGACCAATCAATCATAACTATTACAATTTCCGAAAAAAAACATACATTTACAACATCTCCAATTACACTGTCTAATTACGACTTTACAGAATGATTAGTGAAAAACAAAGCAGCTAATGCACCAATCATATTTGAAGAAATTGTAATGGTTAAGATTATTGTTGTATTTGTTTTTCTTATTGCTACTATTACCACTATTGTTATTATTATCATTATTACTATTATTATCATCATTTTTATTACTACATACTATTATATCAAACCTAAATTACATTTAATTAAGGAACAAGTTGCTACTATCTCGATTCAGGTGAAAGCAGCGATGGATTCATTCAAAGACAGCATTGATACCACACTTGCCTCCAAAGCTGAACAACTTGCCTCCGCCGCTAGTGAATCAGCAGATCTGATTAAGAAATGTAAGTAACCATGCGATACTCTGTGTTTTTCGCTACCTTCTTCACTCCTGTCGTACTGACTGAATGGTAAGGTTAATGTGAAGTGTTCTATTTTCTTTAGTGAAAGATGACTTGCTGGAGGGTTTTGGGTGTCTTAGGAAGGATATGAAAGAAAATGAAGAGTTAAGAGAAATAATAGCCAGGGTAAGGAGAGCCAAGAATAGAGTGCACTTTCTTCATTAAAATTGATATTATTAGTAACGCTGTTTCCTTTTTTGGTGATCATAGTTGTCAGGAGATGAGGCCTTGAACCTTACCTTTTCGTGAATAGACATATCAATAAAAACTTGCTTAAAAATACAATTTTCGCAAGGGTCGATGAAAATGTTGCCGTTGAATTCCTTAACTCTCAGAATATCCATAGCAAATTGACGACTATCGGTATTACGAGTAAAGTAGGCAACGCCAAAAATCAAGAGAACACGAACTGGTCTGCTGTGAAAGCTTTTCTTAGATCCCTTCTCCATTATTTTATTTAGCAAAACAAAAAGATCGCGGAACAAGATTCGGAAATCAAAATGCTAAACGCACAGTTGGAAGATTTTCGAAAACGTGAAGCGAAAGCTTTAGAAAAACAAGAAAAATTTTTGGAGAGAGAAGACAAGCTGCTACAAAAGCTGGATGACATCAGCTGTCAGCAACAACCTCATCCACAAGTCTTTAATCCACTAAATCCAAAGTCCTTCGCCAATCAACGTCAAGCGTTTGAGCCTTTGCAGTACCCCAATCAAACATATGGCGCTCAGAACCCGTCAGTCGTCGCTTTCCCTGGCCGGACACCGCTTGCTTGGGACAGTGCTGAGATAAATCCGTCCAGTTCTATCCCACTGCATCACATTCACCCAGCACCGCAGTTAACCCTTCAGAATCCATCCGCCATAGAAGCACTTCCCTTAAATGTCCAAGTTCCAACTTACGGACAAGGTACAGGAGTATCTGACCATATTCCTCCGCAGCGACAGGATGCGGATGCCATAGTTCCTTTTTTGAATACTCAGAGGCAGCCTCTGCCCTCAGCACAGAATCACCACGTCGTTACACATCTAACTGCTACGATCGCTCCGATGCGCTCTGGTTCTGATCAGGATCAGCGGTCAGCTAGCCCACAAGAAAAGGACATCACATTAGCCATGGTATCGAAAGGTAGTGATATTTAAAGTGTTGAAGATTCTTGTTAGGAAAAAACATATTTGCTACGTGATTGCATAGTGAAATACACTCGCGTTACATTGTCAAGCTACTTATCAGTGAAGGATGTATAACTCCTTCCCTGAAAAGGGACACGGGCGGTCACAAAGTATTGATAGCAGCACCCAATTATGAGTATTCTCTAAGAAGTATTTTCTATTCGGGAAGAAAGACAGTTTATGTGTTGGGGATATTCCCTCACTATTTCCTCAATCAAGCAAAAGTCAAACCGCAAACATGATTTACTTCAAGACTGTCATTTTTTCCAGTAATCTCAGTTACATCGACATGAAATCTTCTGTACGAGCCACTAGGACCATGTACTTTCTTGCAATGAGCATAATTTTCCCATGTCATGAATTTCCAATGTCCATTTTGGGGCGTGGTCCTAATACACTTTTGACTTTCTTCAGATGAAGAAGAGACCTTGAAACAATCTGAAGATGTTGTTTCTGCTGTAAAAAAACAGAACAAAGGCGCTTATCTTACTTCTCCGACGGCTTGTGCAGCTTCTAATCTTACAAAAACAGTACGGCCAAAGCAGTCCCCTGTAGTTACCGTGCATCCACAGGTTCGCATCAAGAAAGAAGATGAAAAAGGAAAGATGAAAGGTACAGGGATTGACTTCGTATGCACAAGCTCTACTCAAAGGTTTATTTAAAGACCAAAACTACCAAAGGCCAATCCTTATCAAATTTTTTAACAGAGAATTTCCTTCAATCCGAGTTAGGCGATCATTTGCAAATCTCGATTTATCATAGCTCTTTAAAATCAAAAGAAAAGGTTTTATCGCAAAAAGGGATGCACCACAGAGAGGGTTTTTGGTGTCAGCGTTTATAGACTTCTCTTCTGGTCCAGAACAAGTTAACAAAATCCACTGTTGTCAGGTTTATCCACTTGCGAGCTATTCCGTCCCGGGGACAGCTTATGATAATAGTATATATCTCTTCTACTGATTCGCCTTTGAGATTAATTTAGCTTTGATGAAAGGACGCCCTAGTCTTTGACCTGACTTTTAATCCGATCCGGTTTATGTTCAGCTTGTCACCTAGACGGGGCCTAACATTTTTTATTTTCTTTCTGTCGCAGTAATAATTTCCGGATCCCCTTGCGCTAAAAAGGCTCGAAAGCAAGACCCTTTAGACATTTTTGTCTTCGACTTAACAAGTTCTCCAGATAAAGAAAGCTTTGATGCTCAGAAAATTGACATCAGTTCAACAAAGAATGTCCCTGAACAACCAGTGAAAGTACATGCAACGAGATCCAAGAAAGTGAAAATGCAAGGGTCAAAAAAAGATACAGACTATGTTAAGGAAGTGGACCAAAACAGGGGAGGTTCGACACAAGGCAACTTGACCTTCAAAGTGGTAAAAGGAAATTCAAGTGATTCCAGTTTGCGCGGGAAAGTAACTGCCGCCCTTAAAAGTAAGGAGAAGAATGGTACAGATCACAAATCTCGTGGACGCAGTGACACCTCTTCAAAATTTCAAAGCAACACACCAGACCGCCCAGTCAAAGCCAGCATGGAAAATGGTGCACCACGATCCAAAGTGGCGCAACGTGTGTTCCAGGTAATCAAACATTGCCAGCTTTGTGACCCTTCGCGAAACGGAGCACGGGTGTCATATGAATAAAGTTAGTATGAGAACTTAACGTTCTTTTTAAGGAATTCTTTTACTTTCGAGATAGATCGTTATTAAATTCCGTGTAATAGGCACTACAAAGTGCGTTCATCGATACAATTCATAGAAACACACTTGATTTGGTCAGATATCAAGTATAAGAAAACCGTATATATTGCGCTCTAAAGAATATTTGCATTCACTGCTGGATTGATATAGGAGAGTTCTTTACAGTAAATGGCTTGATTAAAGGTAAGATGGCGGCTATAATTTTCACCAAGATGATAATGAGCACTCGCCCGTCAAAATTAGGCCTGCTTGGCAGGTTAGGGTCAGAGTAGTCCTAGGAGCGACTGTTGTCGGTAGTGGTTACTGACGTTTCTATCATACCTCAACCAACCTTATATGTTACTCTACTGATAAAAGTTTGTTGAATTTTAAAATAATTTGCAACTTTTCATTTCAGAGGTCCAAGATGTCTTTTAAGCGAAACCTTGTTGCTGCAAAAAGAGTCTTATCCTTTGATGCGTCCATATTTGTTGGTTGGTGATATTCGAATTAAATTTGTTACATTGACTAACAAAAAGGAGTGCTGTATCAATTTGAATTGATTCACTTCTAGGGCGTACCCAAAATTTAGCGAAGGTTAAAAACACTTCAGAAAAAATCGTATAGCCTGTTGGAAAGCTAGAAATTGTCAACCCTAGTTTATTTTCATTCAGTCGAGGTCGAGTTCCTTTTTTTTGCCGATACCTGTATACCCTTTCGTACGTAAACTTATGTAAAATTTTCAGAAAAAGCAACGAAAAAGAGAAATCTTCTCCCCTTTTCGAAATTCTCAAGTGATGGGTTATTTTTTTACTTGAGGATTTCCTCTTTTAACTGAGTAGAAACAGAACTGTCACATGAGCTGAAGTAGAAACTGTTGCAGTTGAGCCCGCATTGATTTCGACCACTAGGGTGTGGTAAGCTGCACTTTTTCCATTTTCAATATCCGAAGATTATGGCAAAAAATTTTTTTTAGCTGAAAAGAATTTATGCTAGTCGATATCCTCTTCTGCCGTTAAAGATTTCTTTAACAGCAAACGGTTGCGAAGCTTTTTCGCGCCTTTTATGAGAACTATAACATTCAAGGAAGTGAGCGAGGTAATCATTTCTGTTGCAGGTTTGGAAGAAGATGAAAATATACAGCAAATCACTGAGAGCATCCGTAAGCACACTCAAAAAAGAAGAGCTGCCAATGTACGTTAATCACGGAACTTCTTCATATCCGGACGATTTTTTAGCTTGATTTCCGCTCGCCCTGGAAAAGTAGAGCGCTAGCTCTATGAAAAAATTTATTTTATTACTTATCATAAATGCTATTCAAAGAAACACATTTAAATAACATATTTAAAGACATACATATGTTAACCTCTAAACGTTCAGAAATAAATTAGAATTTCAAATGTAATTTTAAAGTAAACTTGTTACTTTAGAGACTGGAAACTAATTTTCAAAAATGCACCAATCAGCGCGCGCTATCAGCTGTTTTGACTACCATAATGACGTCGATAAGTAACATTCGATTGCTTACCTTCTTCTCGGTCAAATTGCGGTGAAATCAGCCCATTACTGTTTGAAACTAGCAAGTGACACCAACGAACAAAACATACACAGATGGTATCGTTAACAAGCCTTGGGCTTAAGCTCAAATCGAGAGATTCGCCGCCGGCAAAGGCAGATTCTGATGTAGTTTGCGAGGCGTTGATGATGGAGTTGGAGTGTCAAATCAAAGAGATCGAGAGGATTAACCGAGAAGGGGAAAGAGAAAAGAAGAGAATGGCGAACATAGCGGACTATTCTTGGCTCATATCGACGCCTCAAAAATCGTTTGAAATTCCTCAGATGGAGCGCCTTGCTCTTGAGGAGTTAGCCTCAAAAGTTCGACCCGAGGACAGTGGGAACGTAATTTCCGAGTTCAGAGGTATTGTTGAAGGTATACCGCGAGACGTTAAAGAGATACCCCAAGTTATGCGGTGTATAATCGATAAGCATTTGTTAGAGAGATCGCAACATAGCGAGGAGTCGACATTTCGATGGTTAACGCGTAGCATGTCGCAGTTAAGAACTTTATCGAACCACACATCAGGGAAAGTGTACCCAGCTACAGACGACCTTGAACTTCAAGAACGTCCTGAACCAAGGCGAGTGAAAAGTATGTCTGACTTCTCCCGTTCGAGAGAACTAAATATGTCTGTATAACTGCATACTTCGATGTTCAATGTTGATAGTATATTGTGTTCGGTTATCTGTGACTGTTAATGGTGATCCGTAAAATCGTGCCTCTTTTTCGTGTAACCCAATTCTTCAAGGAAGTATTTGATTAACTATTGAGGTAGATTTATTTAAAGAAACATACCTAAACCTACAACAATGCCTTTTGCAAATATTTTGATATAGTGCTGTTGACTGCGATAGGTGCCATTCTTTGATATAATTGTTTTACCTCTTCCATTGGCTCAAAGATTTTTATATCATATCAAAAGGGGATAGAATTTGGCAGTGTACATGCATCAAAAATTAAGGCGATCATAAAATTGCTTTTGTGGTGGTAACAAAATTTTTTATTTATTACAGGACTGTCTGAGTCATGAGAGTATTGTTATTTATGTTTTAATAGAGTCCTGTGGATGAATATTTTGTTTTTGTAAAGATATCACTATTTACTGGTCAACTTGATTTTTTTCTGTGAAGTCTGGGTCATCTTATTTGTGATAAATTTTGCTTTAACCCTGTAACTCCCAAGATCTGATTGTTAATTCTCCCCTCTAGCTTCTTCACATTTCCTTGCAAATTAGGTATGAGAACTTGGTGCTAGATCAAGATAGCAGCTTCTACCTGATGAGTTTGAATATTCTCATTACCTGTTTCCTGATTAATGTATGGATATTATAGGGAGAAGTTTTGTGTTAATCACTTCTAAGAGTTAAAGGGTTAAGGGTCATTATGTTAATTCCAATTGATACAGCTCACTGTTTTTACCCCTATATCAGTATGAAAATTCTCCACACTGTTCTCTATACATTTCCTCTGTTACTAATAAGAAGAATTTTTTCAACCACCAAGAGCTTTGTTAGTTGACAGTGAAGTCCCTTTACATTTGCCTCAGGGGTGATACTGCTACAAGAAATATGGTACTTGTCAATCCTAATGGGTTAAAGGGTTAACAGTTAAGGAAATGATTTGCAATTTATATTGTCATATTTGTATTACCTACAAGCAAACACTAGGCAACAAAGATCCATGTATGGGTATTATGTACACTGAATGTTGCTGACACTGATGTAATTATATGCTTATAAATAGCAAATAACTACTTTAAAAAATAAATTTATTGGGTACATGGATGGCTTAATGTTATTTCTTGGGAGATATGTGCTGTCAATGAATTGCAGTAAATCTTAGTTGTAGTTTCATTGATATTTTGTAATGAGCAAATAGAATTTCATGTGACATTGCCCTCCACTAATTGGTGATTTCTCCAATGTGTACCAGTGTTCTGTGGTTCCATTTTATCTAGGTTTTGCGTCAATTTAATTTTGTTTTCCTTTGCTTTATATTCTATATCTTAATATGAAACAAAGGAAAATGAAAAAAGAAAAGGTTGAAAATTGTTTAACTAAGAGAGAATGTAAATTAAAACATTCAATTTACATAATTACTTTTCTCCAACCACCAATGAATGTTCTTATTACTATAACTGATCAAACATATGTATCAAATCTGTGGAACTTCACAGAACTGCTTCATTTAGTTATGATGGAAAAAGAGGAGCATGGTAGGTTTAATTTTACTGTGTTTTCATTTTTTTTCATAGCCATGCAAACATATGACTGCCTGAATGTCTGATGTAATTTATCAGTTTGGTTGAATATAGTTGTAATATGTTGCTCTTTTTCTTCAACTGGGGAAGGGGGGAGAATGATTGTGAACAGGTTGTCATCTTACTTGTCTTACAGGAGCAGCCCAGCTGTTTGTACATCTTGTAAAATGAAGCATAAATTTCTGTAGCTTTTCATGAGTTTCAAACCATGGTTACTGTATCTTTCCAGTCTTCAGCCATCACTGCTATCTTCTCATGTATTCAAACATCATTGGCATCCACTAACAATAGCAAAATAGATCTTGATATGAACTTCACAGTATCAATCTTTAAAACAACTTTAGATATCCCTAGCACAGCTCCTTCAAAATGTTAATGTATTTTTGGTTAGGAACTTTATCAAAGAGAAGTTGTGTACTTGAAATGATATACATTCTTAGTTTCTTTATACATGGATTGGTTAGGAACTTTATCAAAAAGAAGTTGGGTACTTGAAATGAAATACATTCTTAGTTTCTTTATACATGGATTGAGAGTAAGGAGGAATACACCTCTCTTCTAAATTTGCTACACTTTTGTCCCCTTAGTCAATATGTTGAATAGCTCATAGACACTGTCCATTATCATGACATTTGGTTAGGAACTTTATCAAAAAGAAGTTGTGTACTTGAAATGATTACATTCTTAGTTTCTTTATACATGGATTGAGAGTAAGGAGGAATACGCCCCTCTTCTAAATTTGCTACACTTTTGTCCCCTTAGTCAATATGTTGAATAGCTCATAGACACTGTCCATTATCATGACATTGCCCATTCAACAAGTACTATTACCAGTAGTATGTATTTTTCACCCTTTGAATTAATGGCTGTATTGTATTCTCTATCAAAGACTGAATTATTTCAACTGACACTATTCATCCCTTTTATCATTTAGTGTATTTTAAATCAAAGAAGGGTAGTATCTCCATACTTTTTGATGTAGGCTCTCATAACTTTGAAACAAAATTATTATGAACAGTAATTTTGCAGAAGTTATTTCATCACTTTAATTATTGCTGCTTTTACTCTGCTTTTTTACTTTCAGCAATCTACAAGACAAAAACTGCATGGAATCTTTGACATCAATTGTGATTGTTTAGACTTTTTTCTTACTGGGTGGTAAACTTGTAAAATCCTAGACCCAAAAAGTAACATGTTCAGTGTCTATGAAAATAAAAATCATGAATACTGAAAGGTTAATTGGAGATTTACATTGCTTTAAAGTTATCTTGCCTTCAGTAACTTTCAACTGAAAGTCACAAGTAATGCAGGATTGCACTGGTTTTACCTGTCATTGCACTGTGCTTGGTCTTGAAAACTTAAATGCCAGTTTATAAACTGATGAGATATGAAAGAAAAAAACAATGGTGAGTAGGTCATTCATGTTATTTTTTCCATAGGCATACACACTCCACATTCAACTACTCTGGGCTCCCATTGGCTGCTTAACATATTTTCTGTCTTTTATTCATTTGGTTTAGCCATACACATTAGCCAGATGGGAATCACACAAGGTCTTAAAACAAAATGACTCTCTTTTCCATTTTTATTTTACTTGCCTTGCTGGCTTACTTTTGCAGTGACTGCAAAAAAGGAAATGGAATTAATTGCTATGCTTGTTACATTGAAATGATTCAAGCTTAGTTTTCAAGATCAGCTTCATTGTTTTAATTGATGTTCATTTGCATAATCAATTTCAATTTAATTTAGTTCAGCCTACAAAAAAAAATTCGATTAGCCAAATGCATGCAATCTTGAGTCCATAGTTTCCTTCAAGATGGGAAGAAGCATATAATTTGATTTTGGAATGTAAAGAAAAGTAAAACAAAGGTCAATTGTAAATTAATCCACCAGTCTACAAGATGGAGGGAGTAATACAAGTTTTGAATTTTTCACAAATTTTGGCCATGTCATTTATGGCAAATGTAAGGAAGTAACTGTTTAACAAGGGCTTGGAAAGCTGAAAAGGTTCTTTTTATAGACCAAAAACCTGCATGATCTTTATCTCAACTTTGTACCTAACAGAACACTATAAACAACAAAAATCAATAGGGACTGAATTCCAGCCCACCTCCTCTTCCCCCCCCTCCCCATTTTACCATGTGTAAGGTTCTCACTGTGATAGTAATTTAAAGTTAAAACATCCCAAAACGGTAAGTTATTAATGCAGGGCTTGAGTTCTAACAGTAGTTTTATTGTTCTTGCACACTACATACTCTGGTTATAAAGACAGTCCATAACAATGACTATACACACTAGTTATCCATGGTATGATTGGAACTTTTACAGCTATCCTAACCAAGCGAAAGGGAACACCTCATTCTGTAAGACGGACAATTTCGTTTTGTCGTTCATCGTGTCGGTTTCTGACTCCATTATAACGCAAATGACGATGAAATATTTTAAGCTGCCAAAACGGTAGGACTTTTCCTTTCTTTGCCCAAGTTCAATGATTAATCTAGTTTGCTTAGCTTGTGAATCAATTTGGAGCCGTACTGAGCACATAATCTTAATACTGAGACGAATAGTTACGAAGGCAAGTGGGATATTAGTTGATGCAAGTAATCCTGAGACCTTATATCCTCCACCTATTTCATTCCTGCCGCTTGACAACAGAGTAAAGTGGTACAATCATTGACGACCTAGATACCTTAATAGTTGATGTGTTTGGATTGGGTGATAAAAAAACTTACTTCGATCACGCGTAGAAAT